AGGACAGCTGCAGTGGAAACAGATGCTCCTCTCTCTCCCCTGGGTTTCAGAGGAAAGACACAGGTCAAAGAATTGTGTGGCTCATTTTCAGTGTGCAAAGATGACATTGCTAAGTTGTTCAGGTAGTTTTATGACATGCTTTTGGAACAAGAAAAACATAAGGTAGGTGTCACAAGGAGGGGCTGCGTAAGGATCTGTCCGTGTCATTCACGTCAGGGCTGTGGCTCTGCAGGCATACTCACTCAGCTGAATGGTTTTGGCTCTGGTAGTTGTTCAGTCTGAAAATAGTTAGGCTGCTCCTAGGCAGGCGGGATAGGATAGCATCATCAGGTCCATCATGATAGATCAGAAAATCCCACAGGAAGCTTCTCAGACATGGGCATTGGGTTTCTGTCATTTTCTTTCTCTTCTTTCTTTTTTGCCTTCCTCTGCCCCTTTCCCCAGTACAAAATTGGAAACAGATGTGTTATTCTTTGAACACCAGGCTCTAACATAGTAAAAGCAGTGATAATAGCTTTTACTGAAGCCAAACACCATATTAAAAAAAAAGCTTCACTGGTCACTGTGGAGAGGACTTAGGCTGAAGCTGCCCACTTGCATGGTGTATGTTCTTGTTGTATTGCACCCCCATGCAGATGGGAGCAGCTTTGCTTGGCCTGTCACATCATATCTGTGGCTTGAAGTCAGTGAAGCTGTTCCCTAAATATTCAGTGTTGCCTTAAACCAGGCCTGTGTCACAGCATGCACATTACATAATGTTTTCAATCTTTAAATCAAATGTATGCGGACCTTGCGTTCACTACCGTGCTGAACTGAGAGCAGCAGCAGTGGGCGAGCCCTGCTTCAGTTACGGGCAGGGTGAAATGCCGGCAGCTGCAGTGGCAGCTCTGCACACACTGTGGTGCAGAGCTGCTTTCCTGGGTTTTTGGTAGCTGGTGTGCGGGGCACAGCCTTTCTCCTCTGGGCTGACAAGCTCCAGTGTGGATCTGCATTCCTGGAGCCCTTGCCCATCTGGAATCAAGGCTGCAAGGCAGTGTCAGCCTGGGGCTTGCTGCTGCCTTTGCTGCCCTCTGGGAGCCTGTCCTCTAGTTGTGACTTCTGAGCTTTGGCAATAAAAATGTCCTGAAATGTCCCCCCACTTCGCTGTTCTTTTTCTTTTTTCTTATGTTTACCCTGCACAATGTGTTGTTTTCATCTCTCTGGCTGTGCCTGCAAAGCAGTTTGTGCGTTGGCTCACTTGGCTTATGTTGCATAAATCATGGAAGTTTTCATTGAGTTTAATTTTAAAACAAAATAGAGAGCTTGGCAAACTCTCTTGTCAGGCAGATCAGGTCCCCAGTCTGTTCTTCAGGTGGTGGTGCAGGGTGAGAATTCGATCTGTGGAGGGCAAGGCAGGGATCCCTGCCAAGCCCCTTGGGTCATGATGCTGCAGCCATCAGGAACCTCATTCACGGAGTCACAAGGTCAGTGCAGCTGATGGGAATTTTATTTTAGAAGTGTTCTTTCTGGAAATTATGCACTGAGGAATTTATCGGCCTTTCAGATGTGTTCAGCTGGTACAGCTGAGACATATTTTCAGGGCCAAAAAACTAGCAGAAAGCCAGCAGTGCTGTGAGCAGGTAACCTGCTGAGCACAGCCCTGGACGGCGAGGTGGCTGACACTGATGAAGGGATGGCCCAGACTTGTGAAGGGGGCTTATCTTTCTGTGCTTGGTCATAAATTCAAGGTTGCCCTCATTGTTTAGCTATAGCACAGCTTTTACAGCTGACAAGGAGATCATGTGTAGTTTGGGTTTCCCAAATGAGGCTGGAGTTGGCTGATTGCTGGAGAGCAGACCAGTGAGTCCCATCATGAAGCTGATTTCACATCTGTGGGCTTTGGGGTGCCTTGGAATCAGAGTCTCAACTCTTGGTACATTCTTAGGAAGGAAATGGAGAAGCGAAGCATATTAGCAAGGAACAACAGAAGGAGCAAAACCTGGTAGGGGTTCAAGACAACACACACACGCACACCTACAACCAGATGTTGCACTGTGCTACATTTTACAGAGTTTACCTAAGTGCTGGTATGCAGTGTGTGCGTGTGCCTGTCAGCTCCCTGTGCCTTCCTGGCACTGATCCTGGAGAGCTGATATACTAAGGCACTGTCTCTGCCCTGGAGAATTGTTGCTGTAACTGGATGCGGCTGAAGGAGGCAAAGGGCACTAGGGCATGTATTGGATTGTTGGAGGTTACGCTGTGGAATAAAACAGAGCAGTGATTCCTGTCCTTCCTCTACAGCTCTGCCCATTGGGTACCAATATAATGGGGCTTTTTATGCTTGCTTACTCTTCTCTGTGAAGCTCAGTGTTTTACAGGTATTGATTATTTAGGCTTTGAGTTGACCCAAAGAAGTAAATCAACTTATTGGTAAAGAAATGTTACAATAATTGTTGATGTAAAAATTATTTCAAATGTGACCAGAGAAAGCATAGCAAAGGTGAAACAAAGATCTAACCTCTCAGTTCTTGGTATAATGTAATTAAGTGAGGCTTAAATATAAAAAAGCATTAATTCAGCTTTAATGGTATGAATTGTTTTGGGGTTTTTAGGAAGCACTAGAGGAAATACAGCATAAAAGGATGAACTCCTGGTCATATTGATATGGATTGGAGCTTCACCTTTCAGCAAGGCTTGAGTTCCTCCTTGCATCAGCAGTGATGCTCAGCTGCCCGTCCTGCTCACATCATTCTTGCTGCTGCTTTCCCTCCTTATTCACTGTGCAGCTTCCTCTGGTCCTGGGCATGCCATTGAGGTCACATCACCCCAGTGCTCAGGGAGGAGTGGGGTGAAGTAATGCTGCTGCCAGAATCTGGGATGAAATTTCATCTTAATTTTTATTCATCATTCATGACAGAAGTCAGAGGCATTCTCTACTGCCTGCTGTCTCAGTCCACTGAAATGAGACTGACTGTGTGCTAAACTTTACCCATGTGCTTAGTGCTGTAATGGCTTGGGTTTGAAAAGGCTGAATTTAGTGTGTGTCTCCCTTTTTCTCTGCCTTTGCTATTATTGTTAAAACTGGATGTTGCAGCCAGCATTTCTATGCAGTTTTTTGCCTTCTGGAGAAAAAGGGAGAAGTTTACTATCAACAAGGCTGCTAGCAGTTAAATTGGCCTGTGCTAGACTTGGCAGTGCACATCTGCTGTGACTAGAGTGGGCTGAGTGAAGGAGGTCCCATAGTTTCCTGCTGCTTCTGGTTGTCTGCAGATAGCCTTGTGCAGGACTGGGGAGTCATCTCAGAGGCACATCTGTTTCTTCTGCAGACCTGATCCTGCATACTTTCCGCATGCATAGTTTCTCTTGGAAATTATGAGCATGCAAGGCTGCAACATTGGTCCTATCATGGCAATTTCCTGGCAGAGGGAAAAGACAGAAGCTATTTTTAAATGAAAGCTTTGAATCAGAAGAATATTGCAGAGTGAAGCAAAAAATTTGTGTCAAAACCCTGAAATCATGGACTCTGAAGTTTCCTCATGACAGTGGTTTTCTTCTCTTCATGGTTTTAAGGCTATGTTTTTGGAGGATTGGGCTGAGATTTTTAAGTGAGGCACTTCTGTTCTCCCTGGTACACATTATCACTGCAGCAGCAGCATTTTCTGTGTGAGTCAGGCTGGAGAGAGGTGTTCAAAGGGGTGTGACTTTGCAAAAACCTGTAGTTCAGCCATGCACACGGTTCTCCTTTAAGTTCACCTGGGAGTTCATTATTTATCCCCCCCATAATTGGTTTTATGCTCCTACTTTGGTGTACATCTTAAACTTTTTCTTCCAAGTTTGTGCTCAGTGGTCACTTGGGAAAAGCTAGTAAGAGAAAGTGCGTGACTTCTTCACAGTGGAAAATTATGTCCTCTTTTTCTCATCACTTGCTTTTGTATAGCTTAAGAATGACCCAAAGGGCTCTTGCTCAGATTTTAATTTAAAACAAACCAACTGATTTGATTTGAGATCCTTATTTCCCCCAAAAGTACTCTCAGAGTGATTTGAACATGTGAAAAAAAAGCAGTTTAAACCACAATTGTTTCCCTGCCTTTGATAGAGTGGTCACTAGTCAATAGACATAAAATTCACTGCCTCCGAGAGAGATGCTTTAGTTAATTAGTTACAATCAGTGTTGTGCTAAGAGACTGCACTGCTGCTTGCCCATGTATTTGCCTGGTAGTCTAACTTGCTGGCTTTGCTGATCCCATTCCACTTGTGGCTGGATTCCTGTATCTGCCTTGTGAAGGGAGTGCCCCAAACTAAATTGGTCCAGGGGGAATGATGAGAATATTCCTCTTTGTCCTCCTCTGTGCTCTGGGTACCTAGGGGGCCAAGTGAGCCTACTTCACAGGTTTTGTTTTTCTGCTAACATTAAGTTTTCCAGGCCTAGCCTGGACTTAAAAAATTAATTTTGGTTGCACATTCTTTATATTGTCTTTTAGCAATATTTTCCCCTTTTTTTCTTCACCCATGTGCTCATTCGCATCCTCCTGCAGTGCTTTGTCTGTTATCTGTCTGCCTCCTTCCTCATTCCAAGGGGCTGGATTTCACTGCCCCTCTGACCAGGAGCATGCAGCTTTTGGTGGCACCCTGCATGGTCGTTTTTTGGGGCTGTGGGGTTTTGGCATCCTCCAAAAGCTGCTAAGTACGTAAGTGTGGTCCTAGCTCAGCATGCCAGCTCTCATGATGGTGCTGAGATGGGCCAGCCTGATGCTGCCCACACCACCATCTTGGCAGAAACACATCTCCTGCAGGCCTTTGTGGGCTTGTCTGCAGCCTGGGTATGTCACACCACACCAGGTAAACCACCAGGAAGAGTTCAGCCTGGTGATGAGTAACACCCAGAATCCTGTCCTAGCCTCTACTGTTTGCATATGTGAGGTTAAATGGAAGGGAAGACCAACCCAGCCTGCCTTTCAGTTTGCAACTTGGGAGAGGCAGCTGAACAGCCTGGTATTCACCTGGCTCTTGCTTTTTTCCAGGTGACCTGGTGTCTCGAGCGATGCACCACCTGCAGCCCCTCAATGCCAAGCAGCACGGGAACGGGACACCCATGCACCAGAAGCAGGGATCCTTCTACTGGGAGCCAGAGGCCCTGTACACCCTTTGCTACTTCATGCACTGTCCACAGATGGAGTGGGAAAACCCCAACGTGGAGCCCTCCAAAGTCACGCTGCAGACTGAGAGGTAAGAGCCTCTGCATGGTGCTCGGTGTCGTGGTGAGGATGTTTTGTTAATAAATCAGCCTGGCTGGCTAATTGCTAATTACAGCCTGTGTGCAAGAGGCTGCGGAGCAGTCTGCTTCGCTTTGGGATCACCTCCTTGAAATCCGCTTCTCTCCCCGAACTGCTGCGTGGCTGAACCAATATATATCAAAAGTGACACCCAGTGGCTACAGACAGCAAATTGGTTCCAGATGTGCTTGGGAGAGTTTTCCTTTTCCTTTCGTTGTTGCTCAGCTATTCTGTGTTTTGGAAAAGAAAACGAGAACTTCTATTTCTGGCCTAGCAGGTTTGGGTTTAAGTGTGTTTTTTTTCCTCTGCGTGTTAATAGGGCTCAGCAGCTGTGACTGGGGAAGTGGAAAATGAATAGAGTAGTGTGTAGAAAGGAGAAGTCATTAGAGATGCTGTGCTCCTGCTGCACTGAGTAACGGGGCACAGGAGTGACCTCAGGGCTGCCCTGGCCAGGGATGTGGTAAGTGCCAGCTCTTGTCCCTGCTCCAGGGATGGGCAGGGCCAGGGAGGTGTCCTCTGGCCCTGTCCTGACTCAGGGTCTGATGTAAGGTGAGAAGGAGGTGCCTCTGAAGCTGGCAGGCTGGGTGGCCAGCCCAGGGGACAGATTGCTGACCAAGAAAATAAATCCATCTCCCATGAAAAGCCCAGCAAACCCTCTTTTAAAACATGTCTCCAGCTGTGTGCTGGGGCACGCTCTGCTGCTTCCCTGCCATGTTCTCACCAGCCCTAAAGCAGGCAGCCCCAGTACAGAGATGAGAGGAGTGGCTGGTGCTTAGAAAATGCTGCATGTGAATTTTTAGGTATTGTGGTGATGCAAATGCAAGCTGGTTTGTCAGGCTGGGCTCCACATTTACATCCCAGAGTATGTATGGCAGTGTACATGTGAGCCAAACTCTGATCTGCACATGTGGGGCTTGGCTATTGTTGCAGGATGAGGTCTGCATCCCAAAGCAGCATTTGAGGGTCTCATTATGTGTGTACTTGCAAATGGTATATAATATGATATCTTAATTGAAATACTTTTTTTATTAGTTGCAGAAGAGCATACAAGATGAAATTCTGGCATTAATGATGTTACTGGGAATTTTGCCATTTGCCTTTGGATGGCATTTTGTTTCTTTTCAAGTTTGGGTTGTTCTGTGAGCATGTTGTCACTTTTTGTTCTGTTATTTCCAAAGTATGAAAAAAACCAGAAGGGAAATGACAAGAATATGGAATTTTCTCTATTTTTTAAAATTGTTTTTAATTTCATGATTTGTCATCCAGTCTTGCTATTTTGGAAAGCCTAACTCATGTCCAGGAGCGGTTAGTATGCACAAAATTTTTTTAAAAAAAATTAGAATATACTCACCTGATCTGTAGTTCTCATCTGTGGGAATAATGCCACGGGAACCGGAGGAAATATAGGGATGAATAAAGCTAAGCCTCTGGTTTTGTATGATTTCTTCAGACTTTGCTGTGCAAAAGTGAAAAAGGGCCGGGATATTTGGAAAATCACTCTCAGTGTTTGCTTTAATAGATTTTCCTTTCTCTGAGGTTGCCTTAATACATGTGCTCTTCATTAGAGCACTAGAAATACTGATTATTTAAGGCGATTGTTGTTCCCTCTGTTTTGAACCCTCCGTCTGGCGGGACGCCTTCGCTTGGCAGGGCAGTGAACGGCTGCGGCGTGCGGCGAGGGCCAGAGCAAGTACTCGGTGTTATTGCCAAGAGCCTGTGGTCACCTCTGGAAGGAGCAGATACATCTCCTGCTGCCTAATCAAATACGCATTAGTCCTTAGTGCCAGAGTGGGAGCGGTGCAGGGCTGAGTGTGAGCCTGGACATTCCCATGGAGCTGAGCTCTGGAGTTTCACCAGCTGGATGGAAGCACCCTGCGCTGCTCAGGAAGGAGAACAGTGAGGCTGACTTATCACTAGTGCTCTGAGGAGCCTTCCTACCCATTTCCCATATTTTGTTTTTTTACAGGCAGTCATGCCTTGTGGCCCATGACTTATCTCTGATGGTTTCGGTTTGCATGATGGGGTTTTGTGAGTTGCAGGGAGATGGGTTTGTTAAACATGACACTTTTACATGCAGAATATTTGCAAGATTTGTGACATATCTGTTGCTGTATTCGCTCTCCAGCTGCAGCAATTGCTTTTATTTTGTAAGAAGCCCAAAAAGAAGCAAGAAGGTCCAGGCATCTTTCCCCGTCCTTGGCCTCTCTGTGTCTGTGCTGGTGCAGAGAAGTCAGGACAGTGTGGATCTGGCTGTAGAGGCAGTATTTTCATGAAATAGGGGTTGTCCTTGGCTCTTTGTGAAGCCAATCTGGCTACTGTCTTGGCCCCCTCCTCCCTGACAGTACAAGCCCAGGCTAGAGAGGATTGTGTGATGCAGCCAAAGAATTTTCCCAGCACTTGCAGGGCTTGATGGCAGCATGAGACCATCCTGTTTTTCCTACTCATCTCCAGCCCACCTGGATTTTGGCTCTGAATCAGGCTGAGCTACAAAGGCTGTACATGTCCTTCTGCGCAGAGGCTGGATATGAGAGGGAAATCCAGTACGGTGGCTGCCTGGCTTAGCACTTTCCAGCTCAGAAAGCAGTACCTCCCTCAGAGCCTTGGGGGACACATAAAAAAGGGATTTTTACCTTTGAATAAATCTGACATTTTGTTTCTAGGGAGCATTTCTCTGTGCTTGCTCTTCATGGAGATAAAGAAATGAGAATGCAGTATGTTTTTAATAGTGTTTATCTTTACAGAAAATGAAAGGGGAAAATGATTATATAGTGAAACTCTTGTTGTGGGGGAGGAGTGGAGAGTGGCCAGAATTGCTTAGAAAACCTGGAAAATATTCCCCACTTCCTAAATGCTGACAAACCCAACCCTAAGATGGATGTGTGATCCCCTCCCACCCCAAACTCATATTCCTTCAATTTGGCCACTTTGGCTGAGACTCTCTGATTTTTTGGCACCAACACAAGCCAGTTCTGGTGACCCTGGATACCATGGCTGTTTTGTCAGGCGTGGAGGTACAAGGAGAGGGCGGACCTCTTTGTGGGATCCCCTTTCCCTATTGCACCCAGCTGGGATGTGCTGGAACCTTTTATCTTGTGCTGGTGTTTCCTACAAAAGCAGTGCTCCTCCAGTGCTTCCACCTGCAGGAGGCTGCAGATTATTTAGGTTTGTGATTCTTTTGCTTTCCTGAGAATTTAAAAAAAAAACCAAAAAGAACTGTAGATGAGGGTACTGTTAAGATTTCTTTCTTGCTGCTTCTAGCTTAATAAAAAGATCTGTCCCGTGGTTATGTTTGCTTGTCAGCCTCTATAATGCTTCCAAAATTATTGCAAGTAATTTCTTAAGCACCGGAAAGTGCAGAATGTGTACTTGCAGATTTGTGTGATGTTGTTTTTCCTTAAGTGGTTCCTTACCCACTTTTATCCACAGCTGTATTGACAAAGTCCTCATTACTTCCTAACTTGCCATGTTCCCCGTTAACAACTCATTGAGAAGCTGTGGCTCAGCAGCTCAGCCAGTCCAGAACCACCCATTAGTTGTGCTCACAGGCAGCCAAGTCCCTTCTCCAGTGCTTCCTCTGCTGCTCCACCTTGGAGGAGCATTGTACCACCTGCCAGCTGTTAGCTTTTCTCCTCCAGTCTTAATTGAGTTGATGGATATGTGTCTGATTTTAACCTTCTTTTCACTTTTCCTTAACTATTATTCCCTGTGTGGGGAGCAGTCCCTTAGGAAACTCCCATGGGCTGTTATTGCTTACTTCTCATCTTTCTGCCTGCCTTGCACACTCACACGGACACACAGAGAAAAAGGTATATGTTCCCTGCGCATGCATACACCTGCAAATTTTAGACTCTGGTAATTCATGATTAATGGAAAGAGTTTGGGTCACCTCAATTTTGTTTCATGCTTTGGGTAGCTATTGGTGTAGCTGGCTAATTAATGTGATGCAGCCCCTCTAATGAGAGGAGTGTTCCATGCTATTAAAATAATTTTTAAAATAATTTTAACTCTTTCAGAGCATTTTTGTAAGTGCTACAGCCATGTGTGTAGTACAGATTGCACCTATAGAAAAATTTCAGTAAAAGAATTAGGGAAAAGTGTCTCTGGTTTAAATTATTATGTTGTACAGACTCCCTGGCTAGGGCAGTCTTCAGCAAAGACCAGAAGAGAGTGGAGAGAGTGGTGAGGAATTCTAATGAAAAACAAGTAAAGCACTGGGAATATGGGAGCCCTGCAATGAAACCTGAATGAACCTGTATATACAGAAGGGATTACACATGCTTGGTGTGCCAGTATGCCATAGCCCCAAGTAACCCTATCTATTTTTATCCACTGTTTGGTTGGAAACTTCACATAGTAAAGCTGTAGCCTTGCTGAAGTCAAAATTGAGAGCAGGGTTGATTTCACTTGGAACCACTGAAAAGAAATCCCAATGCACCCTTACCTAAGTCCTCTAGATTTGCATGCTAAATATCATACTTCCCATTTCCTAGAAATCCCTCCATCAGTGTTACTGGAGCTGCCTGCAGCGTGTGAGATGGCACATGTTACAAGAAATAGTTCAGGCATTCTTTGTAGCTCGGCTGTTCCATGGCAATATCCTTGCTGGGCTGGGTCTGTATTCTGCATCTAATTTATCAGGCTGGACTCCTGCTGCCCATGGGACGGCCATAGGATTTTTTAAATAGAGGAAACTGCATGCAGCCCTGTGAGAACTGCGTGGTATCCAGGCTGTTCTGTGCTGCACTCTGAATGCTGTGTGTCCTCAGGGATTTATGCCATTGCCAGTCGTGTCAAATCCAATGTCCAAACTGCCAGTGAAATATTTGCCTTTTGTGGTTGCTGCCTGAGTCATCACTTTGACTCAGTTGTGTTTCAAGTCTTGGCCATTAATGTTTTTAATGCAGGAGAGGTAACAGGGACAGCTCATTCCAGCCCTGGATGTGGATTCAAACC